ACGTAAGTGCCCAGATATAGCACAAAAATTCTTGACGCTAAGCATTAAGAATGGAAAGGGCTATTACGATCAAGGTCTCGATAGCAAATTTCAAAAAAAGCAAAGAGGAAAGGGATTCTGGTCTGAAAAATATAAAAAAACAGCAGAATATTAAAAAATCAGAATATTATTTAAAGGCGTAATTAAATAACTGTCTATTCCTTAAAAGGTATGCTGCAGTTTTTCAATTAATGGCCTGCCATTTCGTTTACCTATTATTTTTGCCAGAGTACTAATAAAAATAGATCAAACAACACAAAAATCACCACACAAAAAAGCAACAACAACAGTAGACACAGAAGATAACGATTTACGACTCCAAATGTACTCAAAACTTTTACTCAAAATCCAAACAAACACAGAACATCACAAAATAGTAAAGAAACAATCAACATAAACCAAAAAAACACAATATTTTACCAAACAAAGAACAGAACAACAACACAGGAAACTTCATTACAACACTCAACAAAAGTATAAAAAATCCAATCACTACTAGAGAAAACACGTACACTCACAACCTAAATGGAAACAACCCACACTTAACTCAAAACCCTATAAACACAAAATAATAAACCTCAACAAACAAAAACACTGTAACCAACATAACTGATGAAAAACCAGAAACAACAACATAAGTACGTAAACCACCATAACAAGAATGAAATCTAGAGCAACTTTATAAAAAAGAACAAGCTAAAGCCAAACCACCCAACTCCAACAAAAACACCTCATCTTCTGAAATAATAAATATAAACCAAACAAAATCAAGCCCAAACACACTAATAAAAATAGATCAAACAACACAAAAATCACCACACAAAAAAGCAACAACAACAGTAGACACAGAAGATAACGATTTACGACTCCAAATGTACTCAAAACTTTTACTCAAAATCCAAAAATCACAGAACATCACAAAATAGTAAAGAAACAATCAACATAGAAAAATAGTCACAATAATAAATAAACAAAAAACAAAACAATGACAAAAATCGCAGAAAATTCAGTTATGCATGAAACTAATGTCACTTGGGCGCTAGACACATCGTGTGATTTGTACATTATGGTTTTTCCATTTGTTTAAATGCAAAAATGCCATTT